TTTTTTTTTATCATTTATTTTTATAATTCTAAACAAATGATTGCTTTAAAATGTTCGTTATTTTTTTTTTTCACAGTGATTTTAAAACGTATCAGAAAACAAAACGAACATTTTAAACTGAGTGACCAAAGCTTTCAGCTGATTAAATTCGCAATCAGCAATAAACAAAGGAAACCAATGATAAATTGAAAATTTTTCTGATGTATGTATCAACAGAGAAAAAAAAAAACAAAACTGTTTGCTAATACTTGTTAAATGACCGTAATTTTGGCAAATAGAAAAAAAAAATTGTTTGGTACACGGTTTCACCCGATCGAAACTGAATTTTAAACAGAACTTTTTTGCTGTGACAAGGATCTCAGAACAAAACATACAGATGTTCATCCATCAATCTTATGCTTTTACTGTTGTAGACACCAGAAAATTTTTATTCTTTTATTATATTGTGCAGAAAAAAAAAACAAAAAAAAAAAAACAAGAAGAAGAAGAAGAAAAGGGAAAAAAAATGAACGTTTCTAAGCTTCTTAAGATGTATGTATATGTTCGTTGACCCGAACGTTAGGGTGTAAAAAAAAGTTTGCTGACAATTATAATTTTTTTTTTTTTTGGTTTTGTTGTTGTTGTCGTTGATAAAACTAATTAAAAAGTCATGAAGTGATTTCAAAAAAGAAAAAAAAAAAATAAAGGATTAAAAGTCCAGAAAATTGAGGCAGTTGTTTTTACAAAAATTATCTGTTTTTTTTTTTCTTTTCTTTTCTTCTTTTTTTTTTTTCTTTCTTCTTTTCTTTTTTTTTTTTGTTTTGAGTGTTTGTGCAAGCGTTCTGTTTTTTTCGCCATTGAAGGATCTAGCATAAAAGCTTCGTAAAACTTCACTAATTATCATTTTATCGGCGAAAAAATTTTTGACGAAAAAGTTTTGTTTTTTTTTTTGTTCTTTTTTTTTTTTTTTGGTACACTGTTGTACCAATCTGTGCACTAAATAATGCTTTTAAAAATTCCTATGCTTAGTGGTTTACTGGCCGTCGTCAGTTCATTCCTGTCATCTGCTGCCTAAAATCTTAACCATAAAAAAAAAAAATCAAAAAAAAAAAAGAAAATTTTAAACTTTAACTGAATAAATATATGTTGCTTTTTTGGTATTCTTTTGATCTTGTCTTTCTTCTTTATTTTTTCTCTGCTGCTTTTTCTTTTGTTGTAGCTTTTACGTG